AAACGCGACGCCCGCACCGCCCCCGCCAGTTGCCCACCGGCCCCTCCGCCACAGCCCGAGGCGACCTCCAGCCGGCAGCCGCGCAGACCAGCGGGCGTCCCGGCCGGCAGCCCCGGAGTCGCCCGGGGACAAAAGCCGGCGTCGCCGCGGTCAGGGGCAGAGCCGGAGCGACGCCGCGGCCGGACCCTCCGAGGACCGAGCGGGCTGCCCGGACAGGAGGCGGGCGCAGCTGCTTCTGCCGGCGCGAAGGATGCCCGCGACCCCCGCCCGCCTCGCGCAAATACCTCGTCCGCCCTCCGTCCGCCGCGAGGCTCCAGCGCCGCCGATCGCCCCCGCGCCGCCCGCCAGCCGGGAACAAAAGCCCCGCCGCGCCCGGCAGCCGGGATCCCGCCCCGCCGGAGAGGAAGCCCCGCCGCCGCCGCCGCCGCCGCCGCCTCGGGGAGGGGCTCCGGACCTCCCCTGCCTGGGCGCCCCCCGGGACCTCGTCGCCCTCCGGGGGGGCGGCGGGCGGGTCGCCTTCCCGCCAGCCAGGACGCAGAGGGAGGGGCGGGGGCGGGCTTTCCCCGAGCCCCCCGCCCTCCCTCCCTCCCCCCCTCGGAGCCGCAGCGGCAGCGCCGGGGAAGCCCCTCCGCCCCAGCAGGCAGCCAACCGGGCGGGCAGCTGCGGGGAGGACCGCCCAGCTGGGGAGGGGCCGGCGGGGTCTCCTTCGGGGCGGGCAGCGGGAGCCGCAATCCGGTCGGCGGAAGGAGGGGGCTCCGGGCGGGCGGCAGCTCCGGGCCAGCGAGCGGGGGGTGGCCGAGGCGCCCGCCCGCCCAGAGCCCCCCGGAGGGGCGGCCCGGGCAACGGGTCGAGAAGCCGGGTGTGGCCCGTCCCGCGGGGAAGGAGCCGCGGGAGCCGCCTGCAAGGCGGAGGGCAAAGCGCGGACGGCGCCGTCAGAGCCGCGTTGCGCGGGGGCGAAGCGGCCGAGACGAGCCCTTCGCTCCCCGCTGAACGGAGGCCGTCAGGCGGCGCTGCCCCCCCCCCCGCAAAAGCAGCGACCGGGATTCTGCCCCCGGCCCGGGCCGGCCGCCCTCCGAGGGGAACGGAAAAGGCGCGCTGGGCGCGGCCCAAAGTCCCGGCTGGCTCTTTTCGTGAAACCGAACGGAGAAGGAAGCAGCCCCGCTTCCCTCCTTCCTTTTTCCTTCCTTCCTTCCTTCCATCCATCCATCCATAAAAGAATTGAAGTAACCTTCTTTCCTTCCTTCCTTCCTTCTTCCCTTTTCCTTCCTTCCTTCCTTCCTTCCTTCCTTCCTTCCTTCCTTCCTTCCTTCCCTCCTTCCTTCTTCCCTTTTCCTTCCTTCCTTCCTTCCTTCTTCCCTTTTCCTTCCTTCCTTCCTTCCTTCCTTCCTTCTTCCCTTTTCCTTCCTTCCTTCCTTCCTTCCTTCCTTCCTTCCTTCCTTCCTTCCTTCCTTCCTTCCTTCCTTCCTTCCACGATGCTCCATGAAGCGAAAACTTGAACTTTAATCGGGAGAAAATGATTCCCCGCCATCACTGAAGGCGAACCCATCCCGAGGCGCGGCTGGCGGGGGGAAGCCCGCTTCGTCGCCAGGGAGGGGGGGACCGAGGGGGACCCACGCCGAGGGGGAGGGGCCAAATATGGCACCCGGGTGGGGCGGGGGTTTTGGCACCTTGAGCTGCACCCAGAAACCCCCGGGGACCCATCGAGAGCGGCGGCGCGAGGGGAGCGCCACGAGGACCCATGCGCCACCGCCTCCAGCTTTCAAACGCTCCTCCAGGCCGGCCCCCTCCGAAGCGCCCCTTGGAACGGCAGGGGGGTCGCGGGGGGCTCCCAGCGCAGGCGGGACCCTGCAGGCAGCGGCGGCGGCCGAGAGAAGGGCCGGGCCGGGCCGGGCCGCCCGAGAGAACCGCGTCTTGCGGGGCGCCTGCTGCCTGCCCGCTCAGGCTTGGGGGACGCGGCTGGGGGTCTCCCGGGGTCCCCGAGGCTCAGCCGGCGCTCCGGTCCTTCCTGAGCAGAGGCCGCCGCCGCCCCACCTGCTCCCCCCCCCCCGCGCTCCCGCTGGAAGGAAGCCAAGGCGGGCGGCGCGGATCTGCAGCAGGGATCCCGCGGGTGTTCGTGGGAATAGGAAACGGGGGGGGTCGGTTTGAGGTTACCCCCCCCGCAGCTGTCTAGTCTCCCCTGCAGAAACGCGCCTCGGCCAGCAGCTTCTGGCGGGACCGGGTCGGGGGCAGAGAAGCCGAGCGAGGTGGGGAGGGGGCGCTGCGTGCTGGAACTGCAACCCCGGACGCCGCGACCCTCCCCGGGGCTTCCCTCCCCTCCCCACCCCCGCGCGCCGCCCACCCAAGGCCCTTTTCGCCCGCAGCTGCCTGTTTTCTCCAGGGTCGTCGGTGCCCGGCGCGGGGACCCCCCCCGACCTTCTCCCGGTTCCGCTGAAGGCCAAGCCGCCCCTCCCGCCCCCCGAGCTCTGCTTGCTGGGGGACCCGCCGAGGAGGGACGCTGCCTTGCATCGTGGATGGGGACCCCCCCCCCCGAACTCTGCTTTCGGGTGGCGCGATTTCTGGGCCGCAAAGCCGAAGGGGGCGATCCTTCCTCCCGCCGCATCGTCCCCCCAGCTGCCGCCCATCTTTTACGCTTGGGAGGAGACTGCGGAGGGAGACCCTCCCCCCCATCGCAGCCGTCGTCAAGGGGAGAGGGGGAGACGGTTGGGGGGGCCCCGCGGAGAACGCGCCCCCTCTTCCCTGGAACAGCCGCGAGGCAGGAGGATCCCGCGCCCCCCCCCGTCTGCATTCCAGGGACGCGCCGCCCCCCGACCCGCCCGGGGAAGCCCGGCTCTCCGTAGGAATCCCGCCCGCTGCCGCGTGACTCTCCTCCCCCGCCCGGATCCCCCCAGCCCCCCTCTGGAGAGGGAGATGCCCCGTTGCCATGACAACAAGGCTGGACCACTCTCGCCTTCCTCCGGGAAGGCTGGAGCCAGGCTGCCAATCGCCCCCCCCCCCAACAGCAGAGGGAGGAGGGAATCCTCCCAGCAGGCACGGGTGGGGCCGGGAGGGGGTGGTGGGGGTGGAAGGGCTAAGGCTCTCGGGGTCCCTGTGCCCCTTTTGGACCCAGGGTGGGGGGGGCCCTCCAAGCCAGACTGCATCTCACTCAGAGGCAGCCCAGGAGGGGGGCAGCCTTTCCCTTCCGCCTCCCCCCTCCGACGTAGGAGGGGGGGCAGAGTGCAGCCCTGGGGGGCCCTACTGCCACAGCCCCCAGCCCCTCCACCGGGGAGGGAAGGGCCAACCACCAGGGAGCTGCAGGGTGGGGGCTGTAGCTAGAAACCCAGCCCCCCCTGCAGAAAGATGCTGCTGGGAAAAGGGGGGGGCAACCCCCTCAGAACCACCTCCAGGCAGCAGCATTTTAACCCTTCTGCAGTGAAGGCAGCCACTTCAGGGGTTCCCCCCCCTTAAGCCCCCCTTCTAGCGCCCCAGGGGTCTTGTTGGGGGGGTCAGGCCCGCCAGGAGGAGGAGCAGCAGAGCCAGCAAGGGCAAGGGTGAGGGCAAAGAGCCCCTGGGGGAGAGAGAGAGAGCGACGATGGAGGGCAGAGGTGGGCACAATTCTCTTTATTTCATCTTTGTTGTGGGGTTGAGGTATCTGTCCATGTTTTAAAAGTCCAGAACTTTCCCTGAACACGTAAGAAGCGGCAGAGTGGGAGGGGCCAGCCGGCACAGCCCCTCCCTCCCTGCAGGTGGTGTTTGGAAGGCCCAAGCGGAGGAGGGAGGGTGTGTGTGTGTGTGTGTGTGTGTGTGTGTGTGTGTGTGTGTTCACATGGGCAGGGCCTGTTCGGAGGGTGGCAAGGAAAAGGCAGGCCGGCCGGTGCTTGGAGTGGGGGGGGGCCTGCCTGGCCCAGAGTGAGAAGGGCTGCCCTCCACCCCACCTGCTCCTCCCAGCCCTGCCCCAAAAGGTTCCAGCCGGCTCAGGGTTTAAGCCAGGCGAATGGCACTGGGCCCCCCCCCCCCAGGGCAAAGGTTCCCAGACAGTTGGGGGGGAAGCAAGGGAGGGGGCCAGGAGCAGCCAGAGGGGCCACCCTGTGAGTGAGTGGGGCTGGCAGAGGCGGGAGAAGGGCTGGGGTGCAAAGTGGAGCTGGGGGCCACTGGAGGCCCACAGCCAGAGGTCAAATCTGGCACTGACCCAGGAGGGGCCCAGGGGAATCCCCCCCCCGCTCTTTGGGGCAGGTTTTGCCCCTTGGGGCGGGCAGGTCCCAGCGACAAGGCTGGCCCATCCCTGGGCAGCCAAGGGTTTCCGTTCCAGGGGTCAGTAAGGGACAGGCCGAACTCCGACGGGGCTGGGGGCTACTTGGGGTCCACAGGCCAGCAGAAGAGGCAGGGGTCTCCTGCCTACTTCTGCCACAGGGCGAGGGGCCCCCTGGGCCCTCAAAGAGAACCGAAGCAAACGGGGGTCTTGGGAAAGAGGGAACGTGGCCCTCCAGCCTCAGAGGGGGACCGGCTTGGTTCCTTCGGGGGGGGGCAGGGCGTGGGAAAGGCAAGAGGGTCCTGGCCAAGAATCCTGACCCCGTTTGCAGGGGGGAGGGGAGATCACGGCTGCACCCCAATTTCCTCCCCCTCAGGTGGGGGGCTGGAGGCTGCTGAAGCAGTCAAGAGGGCCTCCTGAGTTGCGGGTCTTCAGGACAGGGCAGAACAAAGGAGGCAGAGCTGCCCACCCCCCACCCCTTCCCGGGCTGGGCTATCTATCTGGAGAGGGGGGGGCGAAGCAAAGCTGCCCCTCCATTTCAGGGGTGGGAGGAAGTACAAGAAAGAATGGGGAGACCCTTCCAGGATGAAGACACCCTCCCCTCCCCACCAGGAAATGGGGTGGGGAGGTACAGGGGGGGGCTGCGGTCCTGCCCCATTCCCAAGGGCCGTTAATTGCCCTCCAGAGCAAAGGGGGGCAGAGTGGAAGGGGGGAGGGGATTCCTCCAGTCCGGCGAGGGCGTGGGGGGCCGGCAAGGGGGGGGAGCAGCCCCCCCTTGGGTCTCATTTCTGGCTGTTGTAGGTCGAGTGGCGCTGGTTCATGGGGTTCTCGGGCGCCTTCATCCACTCCTTCTTCAGCAGCTGCTTCAGCTGGGACAGACGCATGTTGGGGTTCTCCTGCTTCAGGCGGGGGAGGGTCCCCTCTTCGAAGGCCGAGAAGGCCGCCTTCATCCGGCGCTCCGGGTGCCGGTCCAGGTCCTCAGCCACGCTGCGGGGAAGGGCGGGGCAGCAGCAGGGTGAGGGGGCGGCTGTGCCCGGACCCCTCCCCACCTGCCCTGCCCCGGGGCCTCACCCGGGGCTCCCCCTGCCTCCATTGCCCAGCACCTCTGGACTCCCAAACTGCGGGGGGGGGGTCTCCTAGCCTCCCAGCTCTGCTGAAGGTCCCCCCCCAGGCTCTCCACGCTCCCAGGAGCAGGGCTGACCCCCAGCCGGGGTCAAAAGAGGGGAGGGGAGCTGCAGCCCCTCCCCTGGGCTGGCGGCAAAGGGATCTGCTCGTTCTGCTGGGGCCAGCCCCCCCACACGGCGAGGCCCGCAAACGGTGCCCGCAGAGGCCCCCAGGCGCCCCACATGCCGAGAGGGCCAGGGGGCAGAGGAGGGCGCCCTGCTCGGCCAGTCTCTCCACTGGCGGGGGCCCCGGCCGCTGTCTCCCTGATCGACCCTCCGCAAAAGAGGCCCTGCTCCCGCCCTGCAACCCCCGGCAGAGCCGGCCCAGCCCCACCTGAGCACCGCGATGGCCTCCTCGATGGTGCGGGCTTCCACCGCGCCCTCCTCCAGCACCCGCCGGTTCAGGTTCTCCTCCAAGGGCACCTCCAGGTGGCTCTTCCCCTTCTCTGCCGGGGAAGGAACGGCCGGCTTCAGCCAGGAGGACTGGCCCCAGACCCCCCCCCAAGAAGGGCCAGAGGAAGGGAGGGGGGGAGGGAGTCTCTGAGCGGGGCTGGCCTCCCCTGGCCCCGTCCCCTTCCCTGAGGCCTCTGCATCTGAGCAGGCTTCGGGATCTCCTGGTGGTCTCCCGCCCTTGTCCTGCCGCCCCCCTCCCCACCGGGGCCCAGCCACCCCCTGCCGCAGCCGAGGGGGCAGCCGCACTCACCGCCGCCGGCCGCGTCCCCGCCCTCCTTCAGCTCCTTCTGGAGGGCCTCCTCGATCTGGGCCCGGGTGACCCTGGCGGGTCCGGGCGGCTTGGGGGCCTTGCCCTTCAGCTGGGCATCCTCCTCCTCCAGCATCCGCTGCAGCTCCTTCTTGCGCTCCAGCTGCTCCAGGCGGCGCTTCTCCCGCTCCTCCTGGGGGGGGCAGAGGTGGGGGGGCAGAGGTGGGGGGGCAGAGGTGTGAGATCGCAGAGCCCCCCCAAAGGAACGGGGCTGACCGGCAAGGCGGTCAGAAGAAAAACCCCAGCAGATGCGCCCCGAGGGGGGGGAGATGGGGGGGTCCAGAGTCCGACAGCTCTGGAGGTGGGGGGGGGGCTGTGCTGTCTCTGTCACAAGGCAGAACAATCCACCTAAGACAGGCATGGCAAAAAAAAAAAAACCCCACACACAAACATATATACCCCCAGGCTCCCTCCGTCAGAAATTTACCCAAGCCCAAAATTTAAGAGAAAATTTTTTACAAAATGTTTTATAGATGGCATCTGGATCCTAAAAAGTTGTCTTGTATGTATCCTAATTTTACAGCCCAAATGTTGGAGATGTGGTAGCTTGGACGCTACGTATTTTCATATCTGGTGGACTTGTAGAAATATAAAAGCTTTTTGGATTAAGATGTGGTGGAGCATTCAAAAGATCTTCAAGAGAAAGATAAAGTTCACTCCACAATTATTTTTGTTGAGTGTTATTACAGATTGTGATGCTAAAGAAACTAACTTGATGTTGAATTTGGTAACACCTGCAAGGTTATTAGTAGGGCAATATTGGAAGAAGGATTGCTTGCCTGCTATAGAAGAATGGACGCTTAAAGTGTCAAATCTAGCAGAAATGGCTAAGATTTCTGCCTATTTGAAGGATCACTCACAAAAAAGATACATTTCGGTTTGGAGAAGATGGATAGATTATATTCAGAACAAATAGGGGACTAAAAAGTTCCATTTAGCCTATGAGTAAATTTTAGAGTATTAGTATTAATAGTTTATTATAGTTAAAATTTTGTTAGTTTTAATTATATGATATTATTATTACTTTTAGTATTAGTATTGTTTAACAATATGGATATTCTATTGTTTAATAATTAGGATACTAATTTGTTTATGTTTTAATTATTATTATTATTATATTTACGTTAAAGGGGAGTTATGGACTTGGTTATTTATATAGTTGGTTAATGTTAGTTAGATTATGATTATTATATTTGTAACCCTGTATTCAGCTCTGGGAAGTGGGGGAGGGAGAGGGGGGTTTTAGGGTGGGTGGGTTTTGGGGTTTATATTGTAACTTTTATAAAACTTTTCAATAAAAAAAAAAATTGCTCCAGGCTGCGAGGGACCCCAGAGGCCCAGGAGGCCCCCCAGAGGTTACAGACCAGAACCCCGATCCAAGTTGCTTCAGACTTCCTCTGCGGAGTCCAGCTTCCTGGCCTGGTGGGGCTGGCCTCCTCCTCTTCCCCCTCCTCCTCTTTCCAAAGTCTCCACACCTCCTATGCATTGGGGTGACCCCAACGGGCTGCAGTCTGCCAGGTGTGGCCTCACGAAGCGGCCTGAACGCTTCCTGTGATCTTCGTGGTACTGGCTCCCAACTGTTTTTTCTCCAGGCCCCGAGTGCCAAACGGGGCCCTTCCTCCTCTAAGGGCCAGGATGAGGCCAGCCAGGCCATCGTGGAGGAGAGCCCGTCTCTGCGGTTGTGGTTGTGGCAGCCCCTCCGCCCGCCACTCCTGGAGCCGGCCCAGAAGGCCTTGAAAGACCCGGGCTCCGTGTGTGCTTCCTCCCCCAGGCCCCTCTTTCTCCTCTCCAAGAACCCAGCCCCTCCCCAATCTCTTTCCCAGCTCCTTCGGAGACACGGTTCTGGGTTCGGGTTTTCTTTCCCAAGGGTGCCTGGTCCACTTTGGGGGCTCCAGCAGAGGGGAGGGCCTGCCTTGGTCCCTTGGGCAACACTCTGAGCTGGGACAGGGTCTCTCCTCCATCTCCCCCCAGGCTCCTCCACCTGTCCAAGGTCTGGTGCAGTCAGTGGGCCAGTAGGCCCCCTCCTGCAGCCCTGGCGCTCTCTGACCGGCCCCACCTCAGCCTGTCGGCCCAAGGCCAGCAACAGCCTCGCCCACCAGGAGGTGTCAAGCCACGATTCTTCCTTTATTCCTTATCAAATTTATGTGGCTGCCCATCTCAAAAAAGGTCACTCAGGACAGCGTACAATTAACAGCAACAATGAAAAGGTATTATAAAAACACTCATTTGTAATGTGTGCCAATGTGCCCACAGTAAAAAAAATGACAATAAAGGTTATCTGTCTGTCTGTCTCTCTATCATCTCTCTTTCTCTCTCTCTCTATCTAATCTATATCTATCTACATATCTGTCTGTCTGTCTGTCTATCTCTATCTATCTCTATGTATCTCTATCTCTGTCTGTCGTCTGTCTATATCTATATCTACCTACCTACCTACCTATCTCTCTGTCTATCTATCTATCTATCTATCTATCTATCTATCTATCTATCTATCTATCTATCTATCTATCTCTGTCTGTCTGTCTGTCTATCTATCTCTATCTATCTCTGTCTATCTCTATCTCTATCTATCTATATCTGTGTCTATATCTATCTATCTATCTCTCTATCTATCTTTGTCTGTCTGTCTGTCTGTCTGTCTGTCTATCTATCGCTATCTATCTCTGTCTATATCTCTATCTCTATCTGTGTCTATATCTGTGTCTATATCTATCTATTTATCTATCTATCTATCTCTGTCTGTCTATCCATCTCTCTCTCTCTCTCTCTCTCTCTATCTATCTACCTACTTACCTACCTACCTACCTATCTCTGTCTGTCTGTCTGTCTGTCTGTCTGTCTGTCTGTCTGTCTATCTATCTCTATCTGTCTGTGTCTCTATCTATCTATCTATCTATCTATCTATCTATCTATCTATCTATCTATCTATCTCTGTCTATCCATATCTATCTATCTATCTATCTATCTATCTATCTATCTATCTATCTATCTATCTATCTATCTATCTATCTATCTATCTATCTCTGTCTGTCTATCCATATCTATCTATCTATCTATCTATCTATCTATCTATCTATCTATCTATCTATCTATCTATCTATCTATCTATCTATCTATCTATCTATCTCTATCTCTATCTGTCTGTGTCTATATCTATCTATCTATCTCTATCTGTCTGTCTATCCATCTCTATCTATCTATCTATCTATCTATCTATCTATCTATCTCTCTCTATCTGTCTGTGTCTATATCTATCTATCTATCTCTGTCTGTCTGTCTGTCTGTGTCTATATCTATCTATCTATATCTGTCTATCTATCTACCTACCTACCTATGTCTGTCTGTCTGTCTGCAAAGCAGAAGGCGATGAGTTCTAGTCCTGCCTTAGGCAGGAAAGCCAGCTGGGAGGCCTTGGGCCAGTCGTTCTCTCTCAGCCCCGCCTACTTCACAGGGTTGTTGTGGTGGGAAAACAGGAGGAACAAGGTGAGTCGGATGCATCTGCCGCCTGGAGGTATTTCTCAGAATAATGGGGGTGGGATGCGAGTGGAATGAAACCAGCCAGCCAGGGCCAGGGCCTGAGGGAAAAAGCCTCTGAGGGGTGTCCAGGGAGACCCTCACCAAATCCAGGCCAGGGCCGTCCCAGAGCTGCTTTTCCCAGAGGCAGTTGGGCTTCCTTCTTTTCCCGTGAAGACGTTTCGCTTCTCATCCAGGAAGCTTCTTCGGTTCTGAGTGAAGAAGCCTCTCTTGGAACTGAGGAAGCTTCTTGGATGAGAAACAAAAAACGTCTTCAAGGAGAAACAAGGAAATCCAGTTCGAGGAGGGGGTGGGGGCTTTGTGCTGTGAATCTGTGGCATGCATGTGTGTGTGTGTTGTGCAGCTGGTGTAACCGGGGCTGGGCCTGCAAGTGGCTCTGGTGCCTCTTCCCTTTTTCCTCTGCCTGCCTGTGGTCCCGCAAAGGGACCCCCACCCCCTTTTCCAGGGCCCCTCCCAGGGATGCTATGATGCAGCCCGAACTGCCCGAAACCCAGGCCGCCATGCTGGAGCCCCCGGCCCTGCGCTCAGGGACCAAGTCTGCCCACCGGCTCCTGAACTCCAGAGCCCCCGATTCAACCCAGGCAGGCCCCGAGGATTTGGGGGCAGGAGACCCCAAGGATTCCTCTGTGTTACATCGCCCCAGCGGGGCCCTCCCTCCTTCCGGTACCTTCCGGTGCTCCTTGCGCATGACGTGCTTGTCCTCGTCCTTCCAGAAGGCATCCTCCAGCTCCTTCTGCCGCTTGGCGTCAGCCGCCGCCTTGGCCTCGGCCTTCCTCGCCCGGGCGGCGGCCGACTTGGTGTTCTCCCCTTGGAACTTCTTGGGCATCCCGCAGGGTGCTCGCGCCTTCGAGAAAGAAAAACGGGTTACATTGGAGCTGCCGTCCCTTCGCTCTCACGCCGGCGCTTCACCGGGTGCCCGTCTGCCCTCGGCTATGGGGCGGGAGGGGCTGTGGGGAGAAGGGGGAGACCGAAAGGAAACCCCCAAGGCCGCGGTCCTGGGGACGGGGTGGTGCAACCCCAGCCGGCCTCCGCAGGGACAGGGACCGGAGCATCTCCTCCGAACGTGACTGGACAATGGGCAGGCGACGGGAGGGTGGACCAGGGAAGGGAGAGAGTCAGTGGGGGGATTTTCCGCACTCGGGCTCCTGGTTCTGGCTCTGCAGCCGCTCGGCTTTTAGTACAAGGAACCTTTTCGCTCCAAATGGAGTTGAGATTCGTTCCCAAAGGACCAAGGTGGGTCAGGTCTGGTTGGCTGCCTTGGGAGGGAGGGGTGACAGTCCCCATCATCCTGAGCCTGCAGGGGTAGGCAACCTCGGCTCTTTTATGACTCATGGACTTCAACTCCCAGAATTCCTGAGTCAGCTATGCTGACTCAGGAATTCTGGGAGTTGAAGTCCATGAGTCATAAAAGAGCCGAGGTTGCCTATCCCTGTGACCTGGGGCATCTTGGATTTTTTTCCCCTTTATTTAACTTGAAAAATAAATAAGTGGCAATTCCAGTGCATTTTAACTTAAACTACGTGGCATAAATTAAGTACAAACGCGAGGGACCTGGTCCTTGACTTACGACTGGGGTGAGGACCAGAATTTCTGCCGCTGTGCAAGTGGTGCCAAATTGTACAACCTTTTTTTGCTAACAGTTGTTAACCCGAAGGTGTTTTGTTTTTTTTTTCCAAGGGGCAACTGGAGTTTCTTGGGCTTTTTCCCCCTGAGGGCGTTTCGCTTCTCATCCAAGAAGCTTCTTCAGTTCTGATTGAATGGTGGAGGACTGGAAGGGTTTATTTATTTATTTATTTATTTATATTTAAACTTCTATGCCGCCCTTCTCCCCAGAGGGACTCAGGGCGGCTCACAGCATGTTAAAAAACAACACAAAAAACATTTCCCCTATAAAACCAATTAAAAAGCAAATATATTAATAGCTGTGTCATATTTAAAATCTTTGAAAATTTTTTTAAAAATTATTCCCTATTTAAAATT